CCCAGCAACCATCCCCCCATCCCACCGGTGCATCTCATTGACCACGCCCCGCAGCATCTCGTGCACAATGGGCGCAACACCCCCCTCCTCGCTGCCGCCCGCCGGCGCCGCGGGCGACGTCGCGCCCAGTCCTGTCACTGCGGACAGCTCCGTGGTGGCCTCCAGGGAGCGCGCCGCCGCGCAGAGCGCCTCCTGGCTGTTGGTGAGCCAGGAGCGCACGTGGTGGCCAAAGAGCTCCAGGGCGTCGATGCAGCCGGGGTGGCCGCGGGGCAGGGCCATGCCATGCTCCTCCAGGTACCTGGTAGTGTGTGTGTGTGTGTGTGTGTGTGTGTGTGTGTGTGTGTGTGTGTGTGTGTGCGCGCGCGTGCGCGTGCATGGTTGGTTTGTGCGCGCGCGCCAAACATGGGTGCAGCTGATGTGTGTCCATGATACGGCTGATTAGAGTCACGCATCATCAGCCAGCCGTTGCAGTTCGTGGATGCCACGGCTCTGTAACAGCTACAACACATCCTCTGTCCGTGGTTTCAATCGCAGCTCACTCCCCATCTCATCTGCCCTCTTCACACGCGCACCTCTGCAGGCCCGCCACCGCCACCAGCATGTCAATCGCAACCTCAGTCGGCTGGTGCGGGGGCGCCGCCCCCAGCACGGCGCGCAGCTGCGCCACGTAGTTGGCGCAGTACTCCGCCGCGGTGATGGCCGGCAGGGTGAGGGCGCTGGGCAGCAGGCGCGGCACGTCCTGCAGGCGCCGGTCGTACTCGATGTCCTGCAGGGGGGAGGGGCATGCGTGCGAATTTGGGCGCGTGGGTTCGTCTGCGTGGGTGGGTGAAGAGCAGGGGCTGGGGAAGAGGGGTGAATGGAGGATAACGGTTGATTGGGCTATGGGGCATGGCTGGGCTCTTGGCAGGCTGCGAGCTTCTCATCATATGCGCCTGCACAAGCATGGCCGCCAGCCTGGATCCTCTACAAAGTGCAGCCAGGGTGCAGCCGAGCGTCATCCAGGGCCGCACCTGCACGATGGCGGCCGCCACCTGGCTCATGCGGCCGTAGAGCGCCGCCGCCTTGCCCGCGGGCGAGCCGCCTGGTGCGGCCTTGCCGCTGAGCGCCTGCCGCAGGGGGGCTGCCAGCAGCGGGTTGGCGGGCGACGCTTCTTGCTGCGCGCCGTCGTCGCACGACATGGCCAGCCGCGCCCAGCGCGACTTGGCGGCCAGGCGGAACCTGCAACAGGGGGGTTGCAGGCATTCAGCTAGGAAGGAACGCGGAGGTCACTGCTCGCGCACGCTGGCGCTTTTGGGATATCAACTATCACACTGCCTGGGGTGTGGACAGCCAACAAAACCTCCCGCAACTATCGAACACCCCCTACGGTGCTCCCGACATTTGAGCCACCCGACCCACCTGTCTGTGAGCCACTCTGCATCGCTGGGCAGGAACACGTCGCGCATCACCTCCAGCAGCCCCATGCCCGCCACCAGCGCCTCCGGCGGGAACTCCCCGCCCGCGCCGCCCGGGTGGTTGGTCAGCCCCGCCGTCGCCTGGGGGAGCGGCACGGCACGAGGGCTTCACTGGGGCCGTGAATCCGTGAGGCGGCACAGCAGGCAGACGGGAGGGTGCGCAGCAAACCCCACCTGTTGGGTCAAATGTCGATGGCGTTGCCATCGACAGCAAGGGCAGAGCCGGGAGGCTGCAAGATGAGAATCAAGCGCTCTCACTGCGCAGGGCACTGCCACCTCTTCACTTTCAAGGGCGAGAAGAGCGAGACTCAGCAGCCTCTGCCCGCAGCCCCCGCCTCCCAGTCCCCACCTCCAATATGCCCTTGCGCGCCGAGCTGGAGAGGAGGTGGTAGTTCTCAAAGCAGAGCTTGAGCAGCTCCTCCGCGTCGCGCTTGATGCGCGTCAGCATCGTGGACTGGGGGAGGGGACGGAGGGGCCGGGAGGCAGCGGGAGCGTCGAGTGAGGCGAAGTATGCGTGGGTGCTGTTTCGCACGCATGCACGCTGCACCTCCTTGCAGACACGCATCACTCCAATGCAAGCGCGACGCCCTGGCCATGAGCCTGGATGGCTCCAGGAGCGGGCGCCCGCGGGATCGTGTAAGACTCCTTATCATCCTGCAACAGCACCGAGCGCTCTTGCTGGTGGTCATCAGGTCAAATGGCCGCCGGCCCCCGCTGCTCCCTCACCTCCTGCTGCGTGAGGCTGCCGCCCATCGCCTCCTGCTCCAGCAGCGGCCGCAGCTGCCGCGCCAGCAGGTCGAAGCACGGCCTGCTCACGCTGGCCACGCCCGGCTTAAGCACCCAGCGCAGGTGGCTCATGGTCGCGTAGTTGCTGCGCACGCCATAGTGCCCCGCAAACGCCGTTAGCAGCCACGACCACTCGCCAGACACCTCCAGGCGGCGCTCGTCGCAGAGCTGAGGGCGTGGGGTGGGTCGGGTGCAGCCCAGCCTGTGGGTTGCGGCCACTCGCGCTCCGCTGCATGCCTAGTTGCGTGTGTGTGATGCTACGTCAACCCCCAAACATCCGTGGCGCCCAAGCCCTTTTGGTCACATCAAGAAAGGCGCAGAAAAAGGGGCCCCATGCAACCTGGCTGCTGCACTTTTCAGGGATCGCTGGCCCCAGCAGCCCTTGCGTCAGCAGCGCACCTGCGCCCTGAGCGCCGCCATCAGCAGGTAGTCATACGCCTGGCAGGAGCTGACCTTGAGCGTCCCGCGCCCCGCGCCGCTGACGTCACCGCCGCCGTCCGCCGGCGGCATCTCGCGCTGCAGCCGCGATATCGACAGCAGCACCTGCCCCGCCGACCCGCCCTCGCCAAACACTGTCACCCAGATGCCGGTAGCGCCGGCGCGCAGGGGCACCTGGCCGCCGTCCTCCTTGAACCAGCTGCAGATGCCGCCGCCAACCCCCGCCGTGCTGGCGCTCACGCCGCCATCGGCCCCGGGCATGGGCGCCTCGTCGTCCTCAAAGCCAGCGCCGGCGCTATCATCGCCGTCGGCCAGGGGGGCGTGCTCCATCCCGATCTGCCACAGGCGCTTGCACGACACGGCTCCCCTGGGGAATCAATGCAGCATGGTGCATCGTGCAGACATGACCTGAGCATCTGCCGCATCCCTGACAGGCTGAACCCTCGGAATACCGTCAACGATTTTCCTTTGGCGATCACCTCATGTCACTTTTGGGCCACCAGATTAGCTGCAACCGGGGCCATTTCAACTGCCAAGCGCAAACCAATCCCCCCCCCCCACCGTGCCAGCACGCCGTATCCGTCCGACACCTCCAGCACGATGTCTCTGTTGCCACAGTCCGGCTGCAGCTCATAGTTGGGGCTGCCAGGGAGCACGGCGCCACCAGAGCCCAGCCTGGAGAGGGGGGCAGGCAAGTGAGCCAGCGTTGGCAGCCCACCCAGGACATTGAGGCGGCAGTGAACGGCTGGGTGGTAGGGGCCGATTGACGGCATGCCAGCATTGCAGAGCGCTTGAGGGCAAAGAGTTTGCGCAACCACTTTCCCCGCCTACCCCCCTGCCTGCACCTGAAGCGCACGTCCACGGGCGCGAGGGGGTCGATGGGCGTGAGGCGCATGTGCACGGTGATCTGGCTGTAAGGGGCGCCCTTCTTGCAGGTGATCTTGTTCCACCACCCGGCGCCACGGCCCGGCAGCGAAAGCTTGGCAACACGCAGCTGAGGTTGATAGTGAAGTAAGCCCAATTCAGTTCGAACGGATGGCTGCTTTTGTGGATGGTACGCGTGGGCGCACACATGCACGTGCGCAGGCACGCACACATGTGTGCACGCATACGCGCATGCATGTGTGCGCCCATGCGTGCACGCTCATGTATGAAAGCACGCATGCTTGCGCGCCCGTGCGCACGTGTGCGCGCCCCCGCGCGCACACACACACACAAACACACACAAAATAAAACACACACACACACACACACTGCCCGAATGCATGCACGCATTCGCACACCAGTACAGCAGCGCTGTCATCCCGCCTCCAGCCTCCACCCCATTCCAGCTCCAGCCCCCGCCCCCCACCTTGATGACGCTCATGCGGTTGACAAAGGCGCCTGCGCTGAGCCGCTTGTCCGCGTCGCAGTCATCCCACACGATCTCGTTGCCGAGGTCAATGCTGCCGCCCTCGCTAGCCGCCAGGTGCGCCGGCAGCACAGCAGGCAGCAGCAGCGACGTGATGCCCAGCCCGGAGCGCAGGGGGGCGCACCCGCTGGACAGGAAGTAGGCGGCGTCCTGGTTGCCCTTGGCGCCCTCCACCATGCACACCTGGCACAGCGCGAGGCAGCCGCACAAGGTGCGTGGTCCTACCTAGTTCGCCACGCTTGTGCCATGCACCCCTTGCCAATGCCTCTGCTGCCCACGCGCAAAGGCACCTCGAGACGTACTCAGCCCCAATGCAGCCCCGGGTTAACAAGAACTGCAGTGGAGATCTGCCTGCCGCCCAGTACCGAAACAGGCCTCCTGCATTCGCCTGCCTCCCACCTGGCAGGAGCCCTCGTAGGCTAGAAACTTGCCCCACGCCTCAGACCGACGCATGCGCACGAGGTGCCCTGTGTTCCCCGGGCCTCGCTGTGGCGCGCCGGCGTCGCTGCCGGCGCCCGCACCCCGCACGTCCTCCTCCCGAAAAGGCGGGCCGCCACCGCCACCGCCGCTGCCGCCGCCCCCGCCGGAGGGCTCGTCCCAGCGGCGCCGGAACTTGCGCGCTGCGGCGGCCGCCATCGCGGCGTCATCGAGGGCGAGCCCGCTGGCCGCCGCAGACAGTCCTGATGGGCTGCGCGGCGGTGCCGAGCCGACGGGCGGGCCGCGTTGGGATGGCAGGCGCGCGATGGCGGCGGAGCGGAACGACTGGTGTCGGTCACGCAGACGCACGCCGCCGGTCGCGTCGTCACCGCCGTCCTGGGGCGCGTAGTACGCGCCTGCATGGGTATGTGCACCCGCATGCGTGGATGGTGATACGTATGGCAGGGCTTCCAGGAGCGTGGCGCGGCCTCCTAATCCTAGCAGCAGCAGCAGCAGCAGCAGCAGCAGCAGCAGCAGCAGCAGCAGCAGCAGCAGCAGCAGCAGCAGCAGCAGCAGCAGCAGCAGCAGCAGCAGCAGCAGCAGCAGCAGCAGCACCAGCGGCGGCGGCGGCAGCGGCGGCGGCGATGGCGGCACCTCTTGCCATGCAGAACCCTTGCCGCACCTATGGTATCGGGGCGTTCATGCTCGCCCTCATAGTATCGGTCCTCATCGCCACCTGACGACCCATACTGTTGTGGCCGCGCGTAGTGCGGCGCCGCCATTCCGCTGGCTGCCCTCTGCCGCGCGCCGTTGCGCTCTTATCACGCTCTGCGGGTCCGTCCAGCCACCGCCGCAGCGAAGGGAGTGGCGTGAAATAAGCCTTGAAGGCATTTAGCACAGCCAGAGAGCTGGTCAGAGAGCTGCCTCAGTGCTGCGGCGCGTGTTGAGGGCAGCACTGCTGGCGCGCGCTTACTGCAATGTGTCCCGATCGGCCGTTGCGGCACCAAGGTCGAGCAGGCGCACCTAATTATTTTTGTGTTCGGGTGGCAAATCTCTTGCAACGGCCCTTGCGATGTACAGGCTGCACGCTGCAACAACCAGCTTCGTTGTTGGCTGTCGACGGTCCGGGGCTCACCACTCAACGTATGCGTTAATCGACGTAATATATTACACCATGGCCGATTGGATTGATCCTGCGCAGGAGAGCCGCGAGAACCCGGATCGAGCGACTGGACCGGCTTCCCCAGGGGTGTTTATGTACTTGTAAACTTGCGCAAAGAAAAGCTCGCAAACCTTATCACGGGCACCTTCATCCGTGTGCTCTTTGATGAGTTGGGGTGGCTATCAAGACGGCCGACCTGCGCGCTGGTTGCGCCTGTGCGACGCCATCACTGCCCCATGCTTGCGGGAGGCAAATGCAAAGAAACAAGGATGCAACACACGCACCACTCATGCTTGAATTGATGGCCCATATGCGCCTATCACACCGTCCCGGGGGTTGACCATGACTTTTGACTGGTGAAGCAGATACCGTACGCGCCTCATCCCGGATGAGGGGGCAGACCCCAACTGCCTGGTGCCTACCCTGTGGAGTGACTGCAGCAGCATGCCACTGCTCAGCCTTGTAGTGAGGCGCAGGCATGAGGGACTGGTCGCGCGCCTGCTGGTGCTGCACAACCAAGCAGACCCTGACAGGCAGGACCGCAATGGAAGCAGCCCAGCTGCAAAAAAAAGGAGAATTTTGTTGCTTTGATGGAAGCATGCAAGCATTTGAGCTTGAATTAGCCAGGAATTGTTGTGCAGGAGGTTGGGGTGGCAGCATCGCTGCCTCCCCCTCGAGGCGAGGTGGCCATCTTGTGTTGAGGCAAGGGGCACAATGTTGCATTGGCCTTCTTGATGAGGCGGGTGCATATATGCAGTCAATGAACAATGAGGGCATACAGGGCCGCACGTGCCGGCATCTAAAGCCGAAGTCACGACGCGTGGCGACAGTCTGCTGTGCTTGCTCGTCGAGCGTCGCGGGCGGTGGTCAATGCTAGGGACACCTGCGGCCGCGGCTGCAGTGCACCGCGCAATTATGCATGCAGGCTGCAGCTTGCGCGCTGCCCGCCAATGCGCGCATGCTTTTTGATCTGGGCGCCGATATCGGGCGTGCGACACCGACAGCTCAACCGCTCTGTCCCATCCGGCGTCAATCATCTGGTGCCTGTACTGTAGTGTGAAGTTTCAAAGCCCATTAAGAGAGTGCAAGTAGGTGAGTGTCGATGCTGCCGACGCTGACGACGTGCGCAAGCACTCATGCGCGCCTCGCTAACGCTTGGCGCAAGCCCGGCGCCACACAACTCGTTTGGCACCTGCATGGTAAGGCAGCACAGACGCAGCTGCAGCGGGAGCACGAGCCAGCAGCAAAGGTTGCGGCGGTGGTGGCTGGCAGCGACGACTAGATGCACTGGCCGGGGCGCACGGCAGCAGCAATTGCAACTTGCTCACATGACTGACGTGAAAAAAGTGCCGGCGCAAATTATTGAGCGGCATGTGTGGTGCTGAGGGCATGCCCTTGAGCACCTACGCAGGTGCTCAAGCACAGTCAATGGCTGACAACGGCTACGTAGCAGCGCAGTCATCTTTGATCTGCTTATCTGAGAGGCACATGCAACACGCGTTGCGCCGTACTTGGCCCGGGTTTGAGGCCAATTGGAGGTTGTGGGCGATACTGTAGAGTACAGAGCAGGATGTTGTTGCTGCTGCAATCCAGTCTTGTCAACACAGTATTTGAGCCGTTTTCGTGTCATCGATGCAGCTTTCATCTCCCAGCCGGAAGCAAGCAGCTTGCCCGCCAGCTGGTCGTCCTGGTATGCATACCAACGTGTGGGGACTGGACATATGTACAGCTGCTCGGCTGCTAAAATGAACAGCTGCTCTGTCCACTCCCCACACGTTCCACTGAAATCAAATGTCTGTCTGCTCCACAACACCAATTCATACATGTGTCGGCAGTTTACGCGTGCCCCGCCTGCTGGCGAGTGACACGGTGCGCGAGAGCCACTGTCACCGCCCTGTCTGCCCGATCCCTGTGCTGTGTGTGGGGTCTGTAGCTGCACAGGA